CCCACAGTACGTAAGATGATCATATCCTAGTGTGACTGACTAAACTACTTTAGTTCTTAGTTAGTTAGTGTTTCTAAATGCAGTTTGTTTTCCAGCTACGATAAAAATAATAAATATGAATGTTTTAATAAGAAAACATTTTAGATTCTAAACGGGAATTATCCATATAGTCTCTGTATATGTGTATGTTTTCTTTTCTGTGTAGTATATTTTTGTAGTATACTATGTGACGGAGGTTGATGTAACCTTAGTTACAGTAAAGTCGTGCCATTGCTTCATTTTGTGTGGCTGCGGCTGGTTATTTTGCTTTGCTTGTTATTCCACAGCCCTGGTTTATCAGACAGGTTTGTACTCCATGCATGGTTTCAAGTGCAGGAGCCGCAGAGGTTAGCATTCACTCGCCTTTGTGTATGTGATGACTGTGCGTCTGAGAACACAAGCTGTGGTTGCTTGCTCCTTACAGTACAATGTTTTCTCTTCCCCCCCTCTTTCCTGAGCTTTAACAACGAATTCTTCTCAAATCAGACCATTTTTCAGTGTTTTTATTTGAATTGTTTATTAGAGTTACATTGCACTGCTGGAACATATTTACTGCACTCATTTATATCCTATTAAAGTATAAAATGAGCTTGGCAAATTGTCAAACTCAAACCTTAAACTTAAAAAATCAAATATCATTTTTTTTTTCAAAAGAAGCTTCTTTTGTTCTATCCTTTAATGGTGAGTACTTGGTAGGAGTGGGGTTTTTTGGCTCTTATGACCTGCTGCAAACCAGATGCACAGACAGATGACAGCTTTGGCGGCAGTCCTGAGGGAACTGAGCTTTGTCTTCACAACCGGTTGTGCTACAGCCATGTTCTTTAAATCCTACTTCAGAATGTTGGAAGGTTGCTCAAACCCTTGCGGTTGTATTGGAGGAAGAATGCCATTCTTTACAACATTTAAAATATCTCTTCCATCTAAGTCCTACTGGTAACATGCACCTCCAAAGATCAGAAGTTTTTAGATGCTTATTCTGAGGGAAATTTTGCCCTGTCATTTTAATTACAGTAATTGTAACCAAAGAGTGGAATCTGAGTGAAGAATGCTGCTGTGACTCATTTGTTTGGTGTCACTCTCTTCTGAGCGAACATATATACCACACTGAATACCCTTCTGCATGCCCGGTGTTTTTCTGCTGCGTTAGGTCATCTGTCTCTCTTCATAAAATAGACTGGCTCGGTGGCACTGAGGGTGTGTATTGATTTCCCCTGCGCTCTATTCAGAATGTATGCTTAAACTGATTACTACCAGTGCCAGGGCTGATAAATGTATTTGCTGACTAGCAGCATTAAAGGGTAACTCCTTCAAAATTATGTATCATCTTATAATAATAATCATTTTAATTATATTGATAATAATGCAGCAGTTGGACAAACAGGCAGACAGCAGCCCTGCACAGACAGATGAGAGCAGTCAAGGGGCTGCCAGCCTGTGTATTCATACAAGTTTAATGAGCATCTAGACAGTAGGGAGTTAGTGGCACCAGCACAGAGCTCACACTGCACACTCAAGCTAACAGGCTGGCTCAGTTAGACACATCCACTGACAGGTGGGAGAAAAGCTTTCTGACCCCTCACAAAAGCAGCCAAGTTTGAGAAAACAATTAATTAGCTTTTTTTCTTTTTTCTTTCTCTTGTGTGGATTTACCCAACATTTTAAACCCAGTCACAGAAGTCTTGCTGTGGTACAAACAAAACCAACCGCTCAAACCATTTAAACCCAGTCCCGTGAATCCAATTACACAGTCTCTTTCAAAAGTTTTTTTCATGGTTAAGAGGGTTTATTCAAAATTGTCAATTACATATCGTATAACTTCGTTTTTCGATGATGGCTTTTATTGCTCCAAATAACGAGCCAAGGCAACAAGAGAGCAGCGCATCCCTTCTCGACTGAACACAGTAAAAGAGGAGAAAAAGAGTCTGCTGATGAGTGTCCTCAGTGTTTAAAATTTTACTCACAGGCCAGACAGTGTGGAGTCTGTGCTGTCTGTGTTTGAGACAAACAGAGCCCATGAGTTATCCACCACCTATATTTTCGGTAATGTTCAATTAGAGTCTTTCTCTTCAATCAGAGTCTTTCTCTCTTTCACTGCTGACTCTTTAACAGGTCAATATGCAAACAAACGTCTGACGTAATCTACTGCTCCACCACTGAGGAGTCAGAGCCACAGCCACATTATTGAGGTCCAGCTGCAGTTATCTCATGCTGACTAATATGGATGTTGCATAAGTGTAGTTGCTCATCCTCACTCCCTCCCTCCCCTCTGCTTGTGTGGGTTCCAGTAGGAAATAAGAGTCCAGTCACAGCTTAGTTCTCTTGATAGTGAGATCCTCCTTCAGTCTCGGTAAAAGATATATTTTAACTCATCACAACATCTACCGATAGGGATGCTTTGAAGTTGAATTCTCTGCACACATTTTAGTGTCTACGCTGTTGATTAACATACATTTTGAGATGGTGAAATATCAAAAAAAAAAAAAAAGCGGGAGAATCCATCCTACCTATGTTTATTAAGTATATAATCTATGAGCTGTTATTAAACACAAAACACAGATGTGGTCTATCTTGATCTCTAAACTTTTTTTGGTTGGTCATTTGGTTGGTTAACCCAGCCTGTTGCCTCATATTTAACTCTTGCAGATTACTCTCTGTTTATTATAAAAAAAGTTATATAGTTTGATAGAAGGACAGAAGTGCAATAGATAACAAATGTCAGGAAATAAATCCTCTGACAATTTGAGTGATATTTATTGTTTTCTTGGTGTGGTGCTTCCTAAACTCATTCTGCAGCACTCCCATTTTTAGATACAGTACGATTTTCCTTAAAACTTAAATTTGTATTTAATCATGGAAATAAAATTACAAATTGGTGTTTTTTCACAATGTGGCACACATTAAAATAATTAAATTAATTTGCCCAATGAGATTGTGAATGTAGCCTCATCTTTTGTCAAAATTAGATAGGATCTTCCTCTCCTTTTGACCATCCCTTGACCTTCAGCTGCTGTATTCTCTGCTGAGTTTCTGCAGGTAAAAAAATAAATTCACACATTAACTCTGTTGTTCTGCATCCTACTGGATGGAGATTTCTCCCAGCATTCCCCACCCATACAGACTGTCAGCTCTTACTGTGAGAATTTGATTTCCCTATGTTTTCCTCCCTCCTGTCTCTAAACCCACCAAGTGCTGTCCCACATGCTGGTAGGTCACCCCTGTCTCCGTCAGCTACTTGCTGTACCACTTACTTGTCTACAGCGCTACACTCCTCAGTTGCCATAGCGACGCCATAGTAATGAGTCTTTATTCTAATTATGCCTCAGTGGGTTGTTTGAGGAGTTGAAATATCTCGGGACTATAACAGACAGCCCTCAAGTCTTGAAGGGTACAGTGTCATGTGATTAATATGTAACAGTTGGAGACGCCCAGATTAATTTCATCATACCATAAAACATTGACAAAGTACAGGATTAATGTCTTGAATGTAGAAACTCCACATCCAAAAGGCACACACTCTGTTGCTCAGTGTAGCAGGTTTATATACAGTTATTTAATAGTGAAACATGTTTTATATTTAGGGAAACAATCTATTTCTTAGTAAATTGTAGGCATCAAATATTCTACCGTGGAAGGTATAGATGAGCTACAAAGTACTTTCAATTTTTCTGTGTGCTGCTTCAGCTTCGTAGAACCTCATTACACCCTGATAGAGAAGCACCACAGCTGCATTGGACAAATTTGATTTTTGTTTTTTTTGGACTCATGGAAGCTCCAGTGTGAGGCATCATGAATATCAATATAGTCTTTCCTCTTCTCATTACAGTATTACCCAGGGTAGATTTCCTGTTTTTGATGAGGAGATCATTCCTGTACTGTCCATATAAAGTCTTTGCTTTCCTGTCGCTTTTAAGGATGAGCACCAGAACCTTTTTTTTTTTTTATGTCTTGTCTCATCTTTCTTATGTCTGGCTTCTCTCCTCCCTCAAACTGTGCATTCTATTAGATTTTCTTTTTTAATGTCATATTTCTCAAGGGAACTTGTGCCTAAAGCTGCAAAGTTATCTGTTGAATACATTTGTATATTGTCAAATCACTGTCATTTCAATGCAGTTTTCCTCAGCATCAAAAGTATATGTATGTATATATATATATATATATATACTTGTGTGTGTGTGTATACGTATCAAATACCGTATCCTTCAGGGAAGCAGTTGACATGCAGTTGCTACCTGCTCAGGTGTTTCATTACAGCTAAGTAAAACTGATTGATGTTGTTACAACAGCTGGCTGTGACAGATGGAAATGATAAACCCATGATATGGGTTTAAGGATTGTTGTTTAAGTTTTGCAACTTGCTTTTAGTTTTCTTATGTTTATTAAATTTGGGGGTAGACACTCTCTCTATGAGGGAGACACCAGACATTCTCTCTGGTGTCTCCAACAGCTTAGACAAACAAATAAGGTTTTAGGCCTGACAAAAGAACAACATTTAAACCAGAGAAAAAAAACAACCCAGATCCTGCTGGAATAAACAAGAACAGTTTGTGTCCAGGTGTGACAGACATTCCCCAGAATTATACAAAGAAGGAATACTCTGATGGAAATATTTGACTCTTAAGAAGTTTGGGCAACTTGAGTTTTCTTGATGTTTTACCTCTTGTCTAAAAGGCTTCTTAAGTCATAAATTAAGTAATTTTTGTGTCTTTGAATTTTTTTATTTTTCCAAATGTAGCGCTCTATCTTTTAATGTGTGGTTGACGATACATCCTAATTAAAAACAGATTACCTGTTTATTCAGTGTTTGTTTAAATGACTCTCAACAACATTCTTGGATAGACTCGTACAGAAGTTTCAGCTGCTCTAAGGATTGTTAAATATCTTTGTTCAAAGTATCCTTTTAAATTGTTTCAAAACTACTGCTGTTATAATCTTCATTAAACTGTCTTTCTTCTCACCTCCAGGCAGCGTTGTGTGATGCTGTTCCTGAGGGTCTGTGAGTTCTGGAGCTGACACTGTCAGCAAGCCCAGCCTCCACTGCACCACAGCAGACCCATCTACTGCAGACCTTCACGTTCCACTGCCCTTCCTCCACATACACACCTTGCTCCAGGGGAAGGCCCCCCCTCCTCCGACTCTTTGGTTGCTCAGTCCCAGCCTGCGAACTGTCCCGTTGGATAGATGTTAACACATTAGCAGCTCTGTATCCTTGGCACCAGAGTCATTTCAAAAGCATCTCATGCCAAACACAAACACCAGCTTAGGGTAGGTTCCTTAAAGACAACCCAGGATCTACAAACACCATGTCTAGTCGAAGAAAGAATTCCACACCGTGTATGATCCGACCAGATCACACCATGGTGGAGCTGGATGATGACGAAGAAGAGCCACACGATATGAAGGTACAACTTTCAGCACATTTAGCATGATTTTTTCTTTATTATCTAGATCTTGTTTGTTTTTTTTTATACAGTGCTAGACTTCTGCTGTATGCACAAGTGGAAAAAGTAAATCATTGAAGACAATAAAGGAGGTTTATGTTTGCAAGATATTAAATAACATTCTTAACAAATAGATTTTTGTAGAATTTCTTGTTGATGTCCTTTGGGGATGGCCAATATATCGAGCTTTTGCAATATTTCAGCACCTCATACGTATGTTGTATAAGGTGGTTATGGTTTGCATCCACATACGGACTCTTGTCCTACAATTATCCTAAAACTGACAGTATAGTTCTTTATCTAGCCATCTGTTTTTAACTTGAACTCCACTTCACCCTTTTACCTGTATTAACTTGTCCCACCCGCACACCACACACTGAGCAACAACACGGAAGAACCTTCAGTTGGTAAAAATAAATAAAAGATTGGATATTTCGTAAAAGGCGCCCAAATATCCTAGAATATAAATTATTGTTCTTTTTCATTTTCTGTTTCTTGAAAAACAAATATATTGTTGGCTGATACTTTGCATTCTTCCTTAGGCTTTTGCATTTCAGGGGCCTATGGAAGTGGATTTATCAACAAAGGTTGATTCATCAGCGGACGTTGATCTAACAGGAAGGACTTCAGACACCCCCACAACTCAAGACAAACATGCCGCAGAGCCAACAGATCTTTCCAGGCCTCAGCATAAGCAGCAGGGAGGCTATGAGTGCAAATACTGCTCCTTCTCCACACAGAACCTCAACACTTTCAAGGAACACGTGGATGCCAACCATCCAAATGTCATCCTCAACCCGCTGTATCTCTGCGCCGTCTGCAACTTCAAGACAAAAAAGTTTGACACCCTGACTGAACACAATGAGCGGTGTCACCCGGGGGAGAGCAACTTTAAATTCAAGCGCATCAAAATGAACAATCAGACAATCCTAGAACAGACAATAGAGGGCTGCAGCAACAATGCAGTCATTTACAACACGGCCAGCACCAATGCTGCCAAAGGGGACGAACTGAGCACACAGCCAATCGGCAAACCCACGGCAGTGAAGGTCAGTAAACCAAAAATAATGACATCAGATGGTAAAGGGACAGACTATCAGCTGGGAAAAGTGACCCACGATCTGTCCAAGAAACAAATCACAGCAGTTAATGTTAACGGGACGGTCATCATCCCTGAAGCCACACTCCTTAAAGCTGACAGTCTTTCTCACATCATGCCTTCCCTTCAGCGGCCTGTAAACTATACCCAGGTAGGACAGAGAATGGATAAGTATTTTTCAGTGTCTCTGTCGTTTGTTATAGACAACAACGATGATCTCTTTGTTCCAGGTGCCGAAAATTGCAGTGCCCCTGAACACAACCAAGTACAACCCTTCCTTAGATGAAAACCTGACGCTCATCTCCTCCTTTAACAAATTCCCTTACCCAACGCACGCTGAGCTCTCCTGGCTCACTGCGGCCTCCAAACATCCTGAGGAGCAAATCAAAGTGTGGTTCACTACACAGAGGCTCAAACAGGGCATTAGCTGGTCACCTGAGGAGGTAGGAGCTGGATTTTCTAATGATGGTAAAGCTGTGCAACCAAAAAAAAAGAAATTATAGTATCTTCTGTCAAGCCACATTATATTTTACATTGCACTACATACTTAGCTTTTTGACATCAATAACCAACAGACAGATTGTGCACAAACTTAGTGTGTGTTAATGACAAGTCAGATACTGGTCAACATAAAAGTGAAATGTCTCTTCTTGTGTGACAGGTGGAAGAAGCAAGGAAGAAAATGTTCAATGGTACAATCTCCTCTGTGCCTCAAACCTTTGCCGTTGTAGCGCCTCAGCTCACCACCCAAGCATCCAAAAACATTTCCACAGCCTCCAAACACATGACATCTGCGGCCTCTATCCTCCAGTCCCTTCCCTGTCAGCTGCTGGGGCAGAGCAATCTGGTGCTAACTCCTGTAGCCAACGGCTCAACAATCACCAGTGCACCACTGGCGCTGACAGTCGCAAACCAGGTAGAACACAACAGGCAGAGATTAAACTTTTTCTAGAGACTCTAAGTCACTGTGACCTGCAGCAATTTCTCCTCCATTATTTCCTGTATGATTAACACAGGTGGCACAGTCACTCAAGCGACCCCTGACCTCTCCTGTGATGGCAGCAGACAGCAAACGGCCCTCCATCATTCAAACCATCTCGGCGCCCATGGTCACTTCCAAGCTGACGTCTCCAAAAGTGTTAAATTTTACTGCTGACCCCAATAAAACAGCAGAGCAGCTCACAGTCCTGAGGTTGAGCTACACCCAGTGTCCTTTCCCTGAGGAAGATGAGGTAAGAATAAGTGAGTGACTTGGCATTTTTCTGCCGTCATGCATGGACAAAGAGAGTGTTTGATGTAGTTGCTTTCATTACTCCTTATTTGGTATTCTTGCATGCACACAGCAACTTTGTCACTGGCACTGTTTCAGTCACCGTTGTCTTGTATCGTGTGATAGATCTACAGGCTAATCGAGACCACTGGGCTGTCCAGAGGAGAGATAAAGAAGTGGTTCAGTGATGGGAGACTCCATAATCTCAAAGGTGCGTGCTGTGATCAGAGCCACTCATTTAAAATGATGAAATACCTTTCAGAGTGATTGATAACTGGTCTGTATGTAGAATTTTTAAGTAGCTCAGTCTGGTTGTTAGGGTTGAGTTCAGGTTGTGTGTCTGTATATGGCAGGGTTTCAGAGGTATCACTTACCCTCAGCACTTCTTAGGTTTAATTTAGAGTTATAAAAAACAAAATTTGTCTTTTATTTCAGGTGTCCCTCCACCACCAGCACTGGTCAAAGCAGAAGTTACACCGGTTCCTAAGGACGGTTCTGTGAGGAAAGCCGTCCCCAGTCATTTTCCTCTGCTGGAACGAGTGAAGGGAAAAACGTCAGAGCAACTGAAGGCCCTGGAGGAGAGTTTCCAGAAAAGTAGTTCTCCAACGGAAACAGAGCTCGGTATGAATCGGCCACTGTTGCCTTTACGTTCTGACTTTGTAGTCATACCTATTGGGTTTCTTCTGGTAAACATGCTTATACATTGGCACACAGTAAGGATGGGTTGGTTTAGATTCAATTGGTTAAAGGAGCAGTCTCGTTTCCTCACTTCTTGCCTTGGATACCACCTCAGACAGATCTACTATTATTAGAAGTTCACTGAATGTGGATTCATTTTTATTTCACCCTCGAGGAGCTGTGGGCCAGTCTCTGGTGGATTTCTACATGACAGGAATAGCAGAAATGTTTTAATGAATCCATTTTGAGATCCCTGGAGGGAGACAGAATTTCCACATTTTGCAAAAGCTTCTTCCTAGATTGGCTCATGTGAATACCTGCACTCTCCTATCCTGCAGACCAGCTGGCCAATGATACCAGGCTGTCAAAGACAGAGGTGGACTGCTGGTTTTCAGAGCGCCGGGCGCTGAGGGACAACATGGAGAAGACTCTACTTACCATGGCCTCAAAAAACACAGAGGACAGACAGGAGCGGCCCGGAGTGCTGCTGAATGGAGCCTCTCATCGGGGGGAGGAGGCCAAATCCCTTCACTCCTCTCCTCATCCACCTGCCCCCTCTACTTCTTCGTCCTCCTCCCCCCCTGTGCTGGTAGCCTCCTCCCCTCACCCCCCAACACTCCGTTCTGCTGCATCTCCCCCCATCCTTACTTCATCCTCCTCCTCCTCGTCTCCTCATCCCCCCATCCTGTCAGCCTCCACAAGCCCAGCTCCCATCAGCAACCGCTCCCTCACCCTGCTCAGAGAGGTAAGACGAGGTAACGAAAATGTGTCGGCTGTGTTAAAATAACCCACGGGTTGGAGCCTCGGTGTGAAGCATAATGATACAAAGATGAATGTGCTTTTAATCACAGCGAGGCTGCTAATAGTAACAACTAATTAATGACACATGACTACGGAGAGATTAGTTAATGAGCGGATGCCTTTAATACAGCATGCAAGATGTTGTGTAAAATGAAGGGGATTTTCAACTTATCATAAGAATCATTCTTTATGATGTACAAACCAGGCCAGTCTAGCACACATGCATGTATTCAATTTTTTATTTTAGTTCCCAGGAGGTATTTTGTGAAGTCATTTAAAGCTCGTCCTTCTCTGGCTATTACTGTAGCCTTGTAGTGCAATGCCACCTCATATCTGACCTTATCAAGGTTGTCAGGTCATTTATTAACCTTGTTTTCTAATACCAGTCATTTGGTGGATTCTCCTTTTACACTAGGTCTAATACATGAATTATTGTTTCCAGGTTCATCTAAAAATAATACAAGAATTAACCTTGACCGTGTTATTGTGTCTCTATTCTTCTTGAAGAATACAGAGTAGCAGACTAAAGATTAATGTCTCGTTGAATTTTTAGAAAGTGTAGCATCTTACCTGGAAATAGGGTTTGTAATATGCTGAATATGAAAATGTGAGATAAGAAAGTTGGATGTGAACAAGCAAAGGAAAGATGTTAGGAAAGTGTTGTGTCTGGAAAACACGGGGATCCCAGGGGGTTAGAGAGTCTTTAAATGGAACAGAAGAGTATATTTATGAGTTGGCTTATAAACAGTATCAGCACTTGTTTTATGTTCAGTAACAAACTGTACAGACTGTCTGGTTAATGGTGATCCATATATTTTACCTCCTGAAAATAAAAGTCCATCAGTTGTGTGATAAGTCTTTCGGTGTGTTTATAATAACAGGCACAGCTGTGTAAATTATATGATGGTAAATGTGCAAGATCTTAAAAATTAATCTCAGTTGTTAAAATAACTGTCAGCCATAATCTGTGTTTTCAACTGCAGGAGAAAGGGAGTCTGAACTGAGAGGTAGTACTAAAGAATGAAACAGTGCTGCCTAAATGGCTTTAAAAGGTTTGGTCATTTATTTCCACAGATGTTTTGTCGGACCCAGTGGCCATCTCCTGAAGAGTACAGCCAGCTGGAGGTCCAGACCAGCCTGGGCCGCACCGATATTGTTCGCTGGTTCAAGGATCACCGGTTGGCACTGAAGAACGGTGAAACTCTGGACTGGATGGAAGAGATCCAAAAGCAGACTGAGCAGCAGAGAGTGTGTTTAGATCAGAACAAGACTGCGACTGGTGAGGAAACAGATGGGTTTTCATTTTACCCACATATTATTGTTTATTAGATCTTTCTGACTTCGCTGGGCCTCTGTTTCTGTTTTGTCCTTCACTGGCTGCTGTAGTGGAGGCGTCTGCTGAGACCACAGCAGCCACAGAGCCGTCCAAGCTGTCAGCTCTAGACAAAGTACAGCAGTTGACGGACAGAATAACCCAGAGTGTGACAGACCTGAGCCGGACCAGACCAGACCAAACTGGTCCTGGTGGTGCTGATAAAGGAAGGTGGGTAAGAAGCTGAAGCAGCTTAAATACATTTTTGTGCATTTTGTTTTTATTAGCTCTGTCATTCCAAGTTTGTTGGTGTTTGATCTGTGCTTGTTTTCTCACTAGGTGGGTGAAGGTGACAGTGGCAGTGGGGGAGGAGACAGAAGGAGTGCAGGGACAAAGAAGGACAACAGACGCTGATGTCATTTCCTTAGAGCAAACAGGGAGAGTCACTGGATGATGGTAGGTGTCATTTGTTTAATAGCCTAGAAATAAAACACAAAGTAGTTGAAAATTGTGATGAGGCAATAGACAATAGTACCAACAAGACTCATCTGGTCATATCCGGTAGATTTTAATAAGAAAAGGACAGGTGCGGAAGGGAAGGCGCGATCACAGATTGGGCTTTTGTAAATAGATTTATAAATAGTGTACTGTCCCTTTAGGAGGCCACAGCTGCAGCCTGCAGCAAACCCAGGAAGTTATCAGTGTGTAATTACCTCTGACTGCTCCTTTAGAAGGATGGCGTGCAGGGACAGCAGTGTGAAATCTGCACCGCACTGTCATTAGGATTGTAGATGTCAGAGAGCACATGCAGAGAAGAGAGAACAGAGGCTGAAAGGAAACATTTCTCTATTAAATCTTCATTTTCAAACAGAGGATAATGAAGTGTTTCTGATTTCTAAATAAACAACAACAGTGAATAAAGCAAGAAATCCCCAAATTTGCAATAAATGACGAAAATTCAACAATATATTCAAATTAATATATTTCTACAGTACTTCAAACTAAAGTTTAACTTCTGTGCTTTATTTTTGCTTGTTTGTACTTTCGTGCTTGACCACAAAGCTGATCCTGATTCTGTACAGTTTAATCTGGTTTCATTCTCTTGTTTCTGTTTTCTCTCTCTTTTACTTTTTTTCTATTTTCCAGGCAGGGTAAATCAAAGACCATTGACATCACCACATGTGGAACTTTTGATGAAAAATCTGCCAATGATGTCATCACAGAGCGCCAGGAACTGTGGAATTTCACTGTTGAAGCGCTGACGTGAGCTGCAGATGCTAACATGAAGAGGAGTGCCAAAGCTGGACTTGATGCATTGTTCTTACTACTACTACTTCTACTACTACTACTATTACGGAAGTATCCTTGTAAATATTTTCTGTATTGCAAAAAACAATTTGTACAGTTTTACTGCAAGGGCACGTTTTGTTACATTTTTAAAAAGACAAATATGACTGGTGCCCCTCAACATCCTGTAAAGTTTTTCTTTTCTTTTCTTTTTTTCCAGATTGGAATGTATGTTGATCAGTTTTTTTTGCTGAAAAACTTCCTATTTTGAAAAAATATAAAAAAAATATTGCGCACTACCTTAATGATCAGTCAACGATGGCACTTGCATATCCCTGCAGTAGTGATTTACATGTTATAGGTCCCTTCATTTCGTATTGTTAACTCCTTTTCCTCCATTCACCTTCATGGCAGTCAGAAGGATAGACGATGTTCCGAGCTGCAGCCGAAATAACCGTAACCACACAGACAGAAGACTATAACTTTTAGGATGAATTAATGCACAGTGCATCCTAATTCCCTGATCAGCTGACTTTTGCATCAGCACCTAGGGCAGGTTTCATGAACGAGTACAGAATGTTCCTTCTATGACACTGAGCATTTAAAGGGGGAGGAGTGTCTGTTTGATTGCACCACGCTGCCTTTTCAGCTCTTCTCTGATGATTTTTCCTTATCAGCCTCTGTACTACAGAAGAATAGACCTGAGAATGTGGAATGTTCTTGGACTGATCTTGACAAAGTACATTTTGGTTATAGTGTGTCAAAAAATGGTTAAACCTACTCTTTAGTTATGATGTGCATGAGTCTTGGGATTCTGTGCTTGTAAACTGATAAGTAGCGCTCTGTTCATCGTCTGCAGAGGGAGCTATTAATCCAGTTTGTGATTCTTTTTTCCATGAGTTAGCTCCACTGGTTTAACATCATTGCTTTATATAACTCCCATTCTGGAATACTATGCATTCAAATCCCACCTTTTTCACGTGATCTTAATGACATTCCAGGCTTTAGGAATGCCCACCTTTTCTGAGTGGCACAGGGTTTGGTAAATTGTTGATGTGTTCACAACATCATAACCCTAGTACAAAGTAAACATCAATCTCATACTTGATTGGGCAAAGCACTTTTGAATGATTTGCATGGGCAACAGCGGCTTTCAGTTTTCAAAAACCTCATTTTCACAAGGGATTCTGTCAAACCGTATTCAACAGCGGCTTTCAGTTTTCAAAAACCAGGGAAACAAGGGATTCTGTCAAACCGTATATTGTTTCTACATTTGTACCAGTGACAAATGTCGACTTCAGCCGCCATTTTCAAAGAACAAAGATTTATTTTCAAACCAGCAGGTGAATGGCTGTTTGCTGGCTGAATGTGTACTTCTGCTGCTGCTTCTTTAGTCTCAAGCTAACAACTTTCTGGGATTATGTACAGTTGGTTGGCTAATATTAGAATACAGTTCGCATTTTCTACCCAATGTCTGCTGTAACTCAATAAATACAACGTTGAAACCTGCCTCTCGTCTCTTAGACGGTGGGTTTTTAAGACCATTTCCAACAAATTACACAATGCAATTTAGTAAAAGCCTTTTCAGACACAACACCTATTTCTGATAATCCTTGGAATTGTTGTCACAGGTTTTGTTCAAATGTATTCATCCACAGAACAACTTAATTCTAAAGTAGCCTTAAGTCCAACAGCATTTGGATTGAAGCTGTTGTTGTGTAAAATGCCTGGACTTTCACACCTTGGTGAACCACTGCTGCTCTAATTTAGATTTTTTTAACAGCTGAAATTGTATTTATTTTTTGTGATTTCAGCACTTAAAATCATTTTCTAAGATTTTTTTTCCATGTGATGCAAACCTACAAGAAAGGCAGTGGTAGAGCAGCTCATTTTCCTGCATGAGCTAAAAACAGTAATTTTTCTATGGAATTAGGTACGAGAGACAAACTGACCAAACTTGGTCAGATAAGCCTAATCTTAACCATAAAATGATTTGTTTTGTTAGTGTTCACCAATGGGATATACTGTACAGTATACTCCATGTACTGTAGGTGCCAGAGCTATAAACACTGGTGTGAAACTGTGACAAGTTACATATGTAGATTATTGGCAGTGGATACAAGTGACGAGAGGCGCAGCCAGAACTTAAATCTTTTTTTTTTTTTAAAGCCACATTTGCCTTTACAATAAACAATTGTTTTATTTACAAAAATCCGACATTGTAACCTCGGTTTGTTTAAAGAATACACTTTATATCAGAAAGATCAGTTGCAGTGTCACAGGAGCTTTAGAGCATTTACACCCTTGTATGTTCAGATGTGAAAACAGTGCTGGCTCTCTGTGGCTCTGACCCATGTTCTGTGAAGGGGCAGCTGAAAGCACTGTAATCCGATATGGCAACAGAGAGACATAGAACCGTGTGAATCAAAACAATCCGCGAGCTGCTGAGCAGCTGCAACGTCTCTGGTTTTATCAGACCAGTGACAAAGTGAGGAAGAGGGATGAAAGAAGAGGGCAGAGAGGAGGAAGAAGCAACAGAGAAACATCACGATACGAAAAAATAAAAAAAACTTTATTATTAATATTTTCTTCTATCTGCTTCACTTGGACACATCTGCAGTAGTTTGGTGGAGAAGAAGAGCTGGCTTTACGTGGTGAACTGAGCCTGATGGTCAGAGTCTGAGTCCTGCTGCGTCCGTGGTTTAAATGCATACTCCCTCTAGTTTCATCCCATCATCTCTAACACTAAACAATTAATTAAGATCAACATATTTATTCTTTATTTCCCACAGGTGATTGACATGGGAAGAAGCAGGCATATCAACCAACGTCGTCAGCTGCAAAGGCCTTTTTTATTTTTGCTAAGAGCTGAGGAGGCGGAGGATGTTGTTGACATCTCCTCTCCGCTCCTCTCATTCACCCCCCAGGCGGAAACCTTGGCCCCAGTTGTGACGTCCTCCTCCTGCTCCTCCTCCTGGCTGCTCCTGGGCGGCTGGTCTCCTGGTGGGAGGAGCTCCAAATCCCGACACACCTCCTCTTCTGTTAGGGAAATAACGATACCTGGACAAGGAGATTGGACTTAATCTCAAATAACAATGGTTTATGATATTTACCCCTTCCACCACCACTATCAACACATTCACTCCCATTGTTTCAGAACTCAACAAATTTCTACAAATCTGCTATACTGAGTAAAAATATTGTTTTATTTGGCAATTATTCTTTTTTAACAAGAGCAATATCTCATGTTCCAGTAGCTGAATTAAGTTGAAACTTCTCAATGACGCCAGGAATAGCAACAACAAAAAAAAAAACTTACAAAAACTCTGGTGTGGTGAGAAAGGAACGTCCTCCCAGGTCCATGGGGTATTTGTACATGAGGAAGAAGTAGAGGTGACCCACCAGGTTCCCTGTCAGTTCATTCACAAAACTGCAGCAGCAGAAAATAACACAGAGACAATGATACATATTTAAAATGTTGCCCATGGCCTAGTTTAAACCCAGGACAATGATAATTTTTATTACATTATTAAAGATGGTGTGGGTTTTTTTTATGATTAAGTATTGTTACTCACGAGCCTCCGATGATGAAGTTAAAGCCCAAAATGACCCAAGGGAGATAATGTGCCTGAAGCAGCAAGTGAGAGGAAGATTAAAAAAATACTTTTTTCTCGTGCAATACAACCGTCAGATTTAGGTGAAAACATTTTCTTCTGTTGTTAGACCGGCTGGTCGATGTACGTGACGTACCTTGAATCGTGTTCCAAACCAGAAGGACACGATCATGTCTTTATTAAACTGAGCCCAGACGTACAACACTGACATGATGAGGGGAATCATGAGGAGCTGAAAACACAAGCCACCAGAAAACTCAACTAATAGTTCCACAGAAAAAAATGTACTTTTGTTTTTTTCTGGGATAAAATAGGTGTGATTTTTTTCTTTGAGAATTAATCAGTAAATTTTGTATCAGTCTATTTTGGTATAATTATAGAGAGGATTCTCACCCGCATGTCCATCATCATTCCAGTAATCTGCAATCAGTGTCAAGGACAAATCCATAGGTAACAGGAGTGTAAAGATTACAGCCGCAGGAGTCTGAATGGTTTCTACTTTTAATCCCTGCATGAACTGACTACACTAACTAACACACAACAGTTCTTCCCCCCTAGCAGTCAATGTGACCTTGAAAAAAAGCAAGGAACAGTGTTAAATTACATCCCCCCCCCCACCCCCACCCTCATTCATACTCATATTTTTGGAGTATTCTTTTAAATCAATATTTGCTTTTTTCAAATTATCAGTAAGACTTTCATCAGACTTGAACTCTTGACAGAACAGCACAGCCCTGAGCTGAGCTGTGGGCTGGGCTACACTTCTGCTGCATGTGACCTAGATTAGGTTTCTCTGCTCTGCAGTGCTAGACCGACACTGGGTCACTGGCACATTGCCATACTGATATGGCACAGTGCTGCAGAGACAGAGACTCACCTAAAGGACAGATTCGATACAATGCAGAAGAGGAAAAAAATTAGTGTTTAACATTAATACATGAGTGGAAAACAACAAAAAACCCTGCTTCAAACAAAGTTTGAAATATTATGGTGTTTTGTGACACCAGTCAAAAAAAAAGGATACAACAATGCAAATCCAGTTGAAGAAAAGCATGAAAATATAGTCTGCTGGTCTGCCATCGAACGCCCCTGAAAAACATAGCAGGAAAAATGTACAAGCGTATCATTTTATTTCATCGTTCATTATGTGCCTGTATAACATGATGGTGGCGGTATTCTCACCTGTTTCTAGTCTACTGGAGTAGTGGTAGAGGAAATACAGGTTGACCAGATAAAGGAAGCCAGTGTTGGGAGTTATTGGGAAAAACAAGGTGGCTGTCACTGGTCTCCACAGCTGTAAGAAATTAGTACCAAAAAAATAAGGAATGAAAGCTGTATTAATTGTAAAATAAATTATTCTCCTGGACTCGTACAATTACTTTTAAAAAAAAACAAGAACAGGTCTGCAATATTTATTTTCATAATGCTGACAAAACATCATTTTATATTATATAGTCTAATAAAAGTGTATGAGTCGCCGACTAGACATTTCTGCGTCAATGTTTTAATGTAAAGAAACGTGTTTATAATCTCTTAGTACTAATAATAACCTGCAGCAAGAAACATGAGTGAAATCCAAGAAACAAAACAAATTTTAACTTATTTATAGAATAAACAGAATGTTAAGAAGAGTTTAAAGTTGCATTTTTAAAAAATAAAGTACGCCGAAAACATTTTCTAATTTAAAAAGGAGTTCTCTGTGCAACTTAAAGTCGCCCCCTGATGGTTTAGTGCTTCTTCCGGTAAAATAACTGTGTGGGTTTTTTTTACAACATAAAAAACTTTAAATTCCAGCATACATACTTTTACATCAACTAATACCTTTCGCTAATTGAACTGAATATTAAGAAGGAAAATGTTTCTGTCTGATTTGGCCATAATTTAACTTGGGTTAATTTCAGTGTTTCTAAATAAAGCAAAGCTTTGACAACAACCGGAAGTTGCTCCCTTCAACGTCTCGCCTTTTGATTGGCTGTCACGCAACTCGGGCCTGCTCACCGATACATTTAGCCACCGGCTAACAATGCCAAAATAGCGTATTCAAACCACATCAGTCATTGTATTTTATTTTTGATATAAACACACCGTGAGAGTTAAATGTTACTTACATGGAATCTGCTATAGACAAACTCTGGGACCAGAATGAGGTGTCTGAAGTCAATTAGTCCTAGTTTCCCTATTAAGGGAACAGCGATGGAAGCAGCAAACCAGGACCGGGTGATTGGAGGGACGCTTCTAAACCAGTCCCCAATATCTGACATCTTCCCATACGATTTCTGTCCACGTATGACCCCAAAACAAAATTCCTTTTCCCTGAAAATGAGTCCGTGTCCTCCGACTAGCTGGTTCAACCGATATCACAATTGATGCAGTGCTAAGTTTACATGACGTGGCTAATCATAGAGCTAGCTTCAAAAATTATCAAGCGACATATGCGCCCAGCGATATTTCCGGTGTAAACTTTCAAAATGAAACTATAAATGCACCAATTATTACTATTTTACCATGGGAAACTGCAAATAATAGCTGTTATAATAAAAACAACAAGTCCTGAATTTGAGTGTGATGATTCTACTCTTCTCTCCATCGTTAGACTACGATAATATATGTGATGTTCTTTTATCTTTTTTTCTTTTGTACTGTTTTTTAAGAACCAGGAATTTCGTGTTAAGCATGGAATTGTAGCTGTTGATCTTTTTCTCAATACAAAGTGATTTTTTTTAAATCTTGTTATTAATTTTAAACAAAGTATTGCGTTTTAAAGTGCAAAAGGAAAGTTTGAATTGATGGTGTTGTACAACCTGCCAAAATGTGAATGTTTCAAAAGGTAAAAGAGAGAGATATGTGTGCAATAATAGTTAAAGCCATGCTTCAATACCTTATGTTGTATTCACTGTTGTTTCAAAAATAAGTGTAACCTATACAAAAATTAAAATAACAAGTATTTCAAGTAAAAATGAAAACAAAAGTATATACCTGAATTTATTTAATAATAATAATGTAATATATAAGTAATTGTATTTTCATAAAATGTCATTATTTTTTTATCTTCAGATTTTTTTCTCGGTAAAACGGAAACTTTCTGAAACCGGATGTATTCTTGTAATCCTTTAGTAACTTCAGTCATTTTTGCTTTTTGCTATATTTCCCTACTTCCTGTGAAATGTACGACACATTCTAAAGGAGGCGGAGCTACACACTTGAGAAGTCACCTATAAAGACATTCTTGACAGTTTATGACGTTTACGTAAAAGGTTCATGTTAGAGAAGATGAAATATATTTAAATAAAAATACACATTGCACCTATAGAACATTTTATAGATTAATTATGGGGGAAATGTGTAAAAAAAAGTGCGATGGAGCTTCTGGTTACATTTCCCATAATTCAAGTCTATGTTATTGTAGATACGTCACATTTAGGCGACTACACAAACCGACCCTCAGATTGCTCAAAACTAAAATAACACAAACCTAGGATTTAAACGGGGTAGTTACACCACCGTGGTGGACTAACATGTGACACTAATTTTAAATCATTTATCAATGGTCTTTCCAAGCTCAGTGTTCCATGTTTAAATCCAAGTTCGGAGAGTTCTTTTCAAATTTCGCGCTGTTTACTCCGCCTTTAAAGACTAGCCCAGGGATTAGCCTAAGATAAAACCGTCAGTGAACCGTGAATTCTTTGTTTTTTTTGGGGCAACAAGTTGTTAAAATGGAAGTGACGGACATAGGGAATAAGGAAGAAGGAAAAATCTGGCATCGGAAACCAGCACCAGGAAGATGGTGAGTGTATAAAAAAAAATCTTGATTGCCTTGTGATGACTTGTGTTCATTTGAGGGTGGATAAAGTCAAATCTGCCTGCACATTTTGTGCGACCCATATTTTGCCTCACATCAGGTGATCTTATTGTTTATTGTGTTACATCTTGACTAGAGGAGCCAGTTGCGAATATTTAAATACAAATTCTGTTGTTTTACTTTTGATCTTGATGCTCTTTATAATCACAAAACAGACTAAAGTAAATAAAGCAACCACTTAAGCATGCTTAAGGTGGTACCATCATTGTGTGAAACAGTGAATCGTTTTCTAATTTATGGTGGAAAAATTAAAAAGACCATATAGAGTGATGTCAAACCTTTGCCTCTTCTATGCTCCTCACATATGTGTCCTGAACCTCCTGTGTTTATTTATTTATTTATTTAAATTTGAACAAAAAACACCTATCTTGTGCTTTGACATCTTCAGATTAGAATTAAGGAGTTAGACATTTCCAAAACCTACTTTAAATAAAACTACTGATTCTTATTTTAACTTTTTAATGGAGATTAGAATCGCTAACAATCACTTGTTTTTTCCTCAGTGTCTTAGTGAGAGTGGCCCGGTCTGCTCAGCAGGGAAAGACTGTTCGTTTCCTGCATGTTAGCTTTGACACCACAGGGGATTCATTTCTGGCTGGAGATCACCATGGCAACATCTATGTATTTGATATAAGCAGAAACAGGTGACACGCATGAACACACTCCTAACTCCTAACATGGTCTTATATCTTATCTATTTCTTTTAAAGGTGTGTCTATGTGTGTCTTGTTTAGATTTTGTCTGGTGCGGAAAACAGGTCAGGCCTGTACCGCTCTGGCTTTCAGCCTTCGCAGGACCACAGAGTTTCTTGTGGCTTTGGCTGACTACACAGTCAAGTGCTTTGACAAGGGTAAATATTGGCTTAATCTTTAAATTAGATTAGATTAAATAAGATTAAACTTGAATGATCCCATGTTGGGCAATTGTCATGTTACAACAACTAAGGACAGAGGTCAAATAGACTGTTTTTAAAAAAAGGTGTTGGAGAGGGGGGCGTACACACATTTACCAGCAATTTACAGCCAAGTTTTGTGAAATCAAATGAAAATTACACTTTGTTTACACGTACGTATGTTTGTGTTTTCAATATCTGCACAGACACAAAGCAGCTGGTCAGTTGGATGCGAGGTCACGAGGGTGCAGTTTCATCCATTTCTGTCCACAGCTCAGGTCGTTATGCCATCACCACTTCCTCGGATACAGCTCAGCTCTGGGACCTGGACACATTTCAGAGGAAGAGGAAGCTGAACATCAGACAGTCTGTTGGAATACAAAAGGTACCGTAATAATGAAAGCGGGAAACTTGCTTTGAATATGTTTGTGCTTATTGTGGTGGAACAGTAATGACACACCTTCTTGCAGGTTCTATTTTTGCCGAACAGCAACACCATTCTCAGCTGTTTCAGTGATGACTCTGTCTTTGCCTGGGATAGCGAAACACTCCACTGTAAATACCAGCTGCCTGTTCCTGACTGTGGACCTAAAATCTTCTACAAAGCCTTTGCTGTCACAGGGTGAGTATCAAACTTCAGGCTAACTCTGAAGTTTGATAATCCAGGTAATCTAGATCATACTTTTCTATATGTCCATAAGATTATATTTTATTATGACTGTTATTTCTAAGGTTTGAAACTTTTACACATGGGAACACAGATGTAACGTTTTCTTTTTGCAGTGATGGCAAGAGACTCGTAGCAGGTGGTCGCTCCAACCTGCTGCACCTGTGGTGTTTGGAGAGTCAACAGTTGGGTCGAGTGATACAGATGCCCACACAGGTTCGAACTGTTAGGCAGCTGGAATTTCTGCCTGACAGCTTTGATGAAGGAGCCAATCAGGTACACACTTGTGAACAATTCACTTTTGTCACACTCACTGCACTAACACTTTGACGTTTGTGTGTCAGTGTTTAAGTCTGTAGGTTCTGTGTCAGTCCAATTTAGCATCAAGTATGTTAAACATTTATATTATGATTATGTTAAGTCATTAATTATCTGTTGAGTTAAAGAAAATATTGAAGATAGATTTTTCTGACACTGCCATATAAATATGTTAGGTTTGTTTTATTCTGTTCTAAACCCCTTAAATCAACTTTGCTGATTTCAGTGTGACTTGTGTCTCTGTAGATACTGGGCGTGTTGGGACAGGATGGTATAATACGTTTTATCAACATTCAAACCTGTAAGCTCCAGTTTCACTTGGGCTCCCCTGATGAAGCCATTACATCGCTGGGAGTTTGTCCTAACGGCAGACACATTGTGGCCATAATGGATAACGGCAGCATCAATATCTACAGTGTTCAGGGTTTGACACAGGAGTCAAACAAGGTGAATGAATGAATATTATATCTTAGCATTAGAATACACGTGTAATCTTACTCTACATATGTATGTGTATTCATATTGTTTTGCTATGTTGTCATTACCCAGACTCCATTCACCAGGGTGGCGGTAGTCTCAGATGGTGACACAAATCAGGAATTGGCCAATCTAAAGGTAAAGGTCAAGTCAGATGTGGATCAAAGACTGGCCATGACCCCACGTCAGACATGGGTGAGAATACTGAAGCCCCCTGCTGTGTCTACAGCAGATGACAAAGAGGTTAGTTATCATCCAGTAATACATGTGATTTATTTTATTATAGATATCTTTTTCATGTGGGCAGAACATACAATCTCAGCTATGACATGTAAACTACAGGCTGAAGTAAAAATTTGCCAATGTATAAAGTGATGTAAAGGGAATAATTCAGCACTTAAAACTAACACTATGACTTGTTTAAAAATGACACTGTGACAAGACACATATCAGACAACAACAGACTGGCAGAACAGGAGCTAAGTTCACTGAAACAGGGTAGAACCCTTTGAGAATGCTGAGCAGATTGGCTGGTGTAACTTTGTGATGAAGCAACGTTTCATTAATTTTGTGACATTGTAAATAGAATGAACTCCCAGCTGGTCTGAATAAGAAGAGACTGGTGTCTTTGCTGAAGGCCTTTGGCGAATATCCTGCTAAATACAGGTCTGTATGTTTGTTAGTCAGTTTATCATTTTTTTTAGTGTTCACATTGGTTAACGTTCGTATGTTTTTGTTTCAGGATGTTTGTGTGGCGGTCATTACTGTGTCTCCCAGAGAACCATGCAGCATTCAGCGGTCTGACTGATAAAGGCCTACATGCAGCCTGCCTCACGTTGCACAACAAATACCCCATCAAGAGTCAGAAGTTACAGCGAGGACTGCAGAGGTACAGTGTAAACAGACTGAAGAAGGATTTGTTTTCTCTTTAGCTTTTTCTGTATTGAACCTTACACTCCCTCTCTCAGGGTTCTGTCTGCGTTATCGCACTGGGCAGCCATCTTTGGAGAGGTGGAATACCTTCCACTGGTGGCTTTTCCTTTTGTCAAACTCTTCCAGAACAATCCTATGCTGTGTTTTGAGGTGGTAGCAACTGTCATAGGTAATTATTTTTAAATTTCCTAATAAACAGTGATCCTACTGCATTGTTGTATTTTTACTATCGCTGTCAAATGTTTGATCTAATTAATTTTATTATTGCCACTTATTATAGCCACTGATATAGCATATAAGTGCATTTTATTGACTTAGATTGTCTTTTGCAGTGAACTGGTGCCAACACTGGTTTGAATACTTTCCCAACCCCCCTCTCAACATCCTCAGCATGGCTGAGAACATAC